GAGACCTCCCGGGGGCTGCTGGGGCGCTGCGGGGAGGCGCGCCGGGAGGAGAGGGCCGCGAGTGGCAGACCTCATTTTCTTTATTCCCTTCTAGTCTCATCTCGGCCTTTGAGCTTCTCTGGCCTGTTCCCCTGGGCTAAGTCGGCAACATGAGCCGCAACAACTTGGATGGGAAAGACGACTTTGACGAGCAGTTGCGATTGCAAAAATTGTACGGAGACACCCACGATGGAGACACCCAGAAAGGTCCAGGTAGAGAAAACAATTCTTTCGAGCAGCAGCCAGATGACACCCCCTATGAGTGGGACCTGGATAAGAAGGCTTGGTTCCCCAAGGTAAGTGTGTGTTGCCGGTGCCCCTGCAGAGCAGGCCGCTCGCTCATTTTCTTTTCGAGGTCTTGGGGGTAGAGCCCCCATTAGTAGTGGCCTTTCTTTTTGTTCTGTTGTTGCGGAACCAGTGTGTAAAGGAAGGGAAATCTTTAGGGAGATGTCGTAAATGTAATTTAATTCTTGTCTTTTTTTTCTATGCCTTATTAATTTTATCTGTGAAGGTCGTAGTTGGGTATTACATTGGTGACTGCTTTTTATTGCAAAGAGGAAAAACACCAAGAACAAACTTGGTAGCTCTTACTCTCAGGGAGCCAACCTCACTTATCCTGGAAATTCAGGTGTTTAGCTTATATACTATGTGCAAAATGCAGCTTCTTGATTTTTTTTTAACCTAGCCATTACTGATTGAATTTTGCACCTCTACTTTCCTATTAAGTTTTGTCCCTAAACACATGCTTGAACCAAATAACCACAGGAATATGACTAGAGGTGCACAAAATACAAATGGAAAAGATATGTGTATATTTATTTAGAGTATTTGAAAATTATTAAGCATTTTACTTCAGCTTAATTTCAGTAAAGTAACTGGTGTTAAACTTGGTTCTATAAACTTCTCTGTAAAAGTATGCTGTTAACCAGAATCTCATGGTTGGGGAAAAGGATACCAATAGCACACTAATTGACTTGGAAGCCTGAAATAACAAATCATGTCTCCATTGTGTAACTTTAAATATTATTCAACTTCTTTCTTTCCCATTTTGTGTTTGTGTATGTTCCAATCCCTTCAAATTGTTAAATGTACTAGTTGATTCTTGAATAACCAGGGTCTGAACTGAATCCACTTAGACACAAATTTTTCATCATCTTGTAAACAGTTCACATAAGCTTACGATGTCAGTAAATGTACAGTATTGTAAATGTATTTTCTCTTTCTTATGATTTTCTTAATCCTTTTCTGCAGCTTTAAGAATACAGCATACACCCTGGCCAGTGTGGCTCAGATGGTTGGGCATCATCCCGTGCACTGAAGGGTTGCCACTTCCATTCCCAGTCAGGGCACATGCCTAGGTTGTGGGCTCAATCCTGGGTTAGGCGGTGTGCTGTAGGCAGCCAGTCGATATCTCCCTCTCAAATTGCTGTTTCTCTTTCTCCCTCTCCTTTCCTTTCTCTCTAAAAATCAATTTAAAAAAAGAATGCAGTATACAATATACAGGGTGTCCCAAAAATGTATACACACTTTGAATGATTATAAAGTCATTGTTTATTAACATATAGTTCATTTTTAAATTTTAAAAGAATCAACAGAACGAAATAATTTTTTCATCAGTGCCTGTTTTCAAACGGGTCCAGGCACTGCTTGTAATGCCAAGCAATGGAATTGCAAACAAGAATCATTTCGTTTGGTATTTGTATGCCTTCAATTCGTCGACTGTTGCCAATTTTGTACTGTAAACATTATCTTTTATATTAATAAAAGTTTAGTGGCACTTTGGGATAAATTTTCTGTATTCAAAGCTTAGTCTGGCTTCAACCATTATTTCAAATTAGTTAAACCTGAAAAGTTGTTAAGTTCTTGGAGAGTCAAAAGTTATATGTAGATTTTCTACTGAGTAAGGTGTTGATGTCCCTAACTCCTGTGTTGTTCAAGGGCAGCGGTGGGCAAACTACGGCCCGCAGGCCGGATCCGGCCCGTTTGAAATGAATAAAACTAAAAAAAAAAAAGACAGTACCCTTTTATGTAATGCTGTTTACTTTAAATTTATATTAGTTCACACAAACACTCCATCCATGCTTTTGTTCCGGCCCTCCGGTGCAGTTTAAGAACCCATTGTGGCCCTCCAGTCAAAGAGTTTGCCCACCCCTGTTCAAGGGTCAACTATATTTCACTCTTGTACTGGCAGTGCCAGACCTAGCGCAGATTTGGTTTCTTCAGCCTTCTCAGTTCTTTTAACAATAGTCTGATAATTAGATTAACTTGTTAATCTATCTTTTATGCCATGGAAGCCCATATCTGTCAAACTTTGAGTTAAAATGTTTCCCATTCCTATGTGGTATAAAGACAACTACATTTCTTGCATTGTGAAATTGTGCTTTTCCCCCCTGAAAGCCAGAATAGATGTAAGTTGGATTAGTTCTTAATTTTTTTTTACAGTAAATGATAGTGATTTAATTCATTATAACGTTAAAACAAGCATTTAGATTTACTGTTGTTAGCCCTTTTCTTTAAACACCAAATAAAAATTCTGTTCTCTTTGCTTACAGATATGTAAATGTTTAGTGTACATATACTTTGTACATCTATATAGTTAAAGAAAAATTAATTCTGGCCTGACCAGTGTGGCTCAGTGTTTGAAAATGGACCACGAACCAGGAGATTGCTGGTTAGATTCCCACTCAGGGCACATGCCCGGGTTTCAGGCTCGATCCCCCACTGGGCATGCAGGAGACAGCCAATCACTGATTCTCTTTCATCATTGATGTTTCTTTCATCATTGATGTTTCTAACTCTCCCTCTCCCTTCTCTCTGAAATAAATAAATACACAAAATACGAATTTGTTGCTATTGTTTTTTATCCTATTTTATTATCTGGTACTTCCTTTGTTATACGTTCTCATAGCCTTGCTTAAGTAGACTGTGGAGAGGTAGTAATTTATAAATGAAACAACTAGGAAGGTGTCAACATCATTTAAAATAACAGTAATATCTCAGACTTTTGTGTTGGTAATCCAAGTTCCCATTTCTTATTTCTTATCATACACAGTTTTCTATATACAGGGTGGGGCAAAAGCAGGTTTACAGTTGTGAGCATGCGAAACAGAGTTTATTCTTATATTATTATTTATTAATTAATGTATTATCACCCGGCGTGGCTCAGTTGGTTGAGCATTATCTCATGCACCAGGAGGTAGCTGGTTCCATTCCCAAGCAGGGCACATGCCCAGGTTATGGGTTCAATCGGTGTAGGAGGCAGCCAATTAATGTTTCTCTCTCATTGATGTTTCTCCCTCTCCCTCTTCCTCTCTCTGGAATCAATAAAAACATATTTAAAAAATGATATTTAATTGATGTATTATTATTTTCCATACAAACAATTGTAAACCTACATTTGCCCCACCCCTAAGGTGACGGTTCTTGCATTTACACTTTATTACTACAACACTTCTATGTTAAGTTGTATAACTGAATATGCTGTAATTTAACACAGTGTAAACTTTTTACAGGAGAAAATAATTTTTTAATTTGTGTGTGTGTGTGTGTGTTGAATTTCTTGTCCAGATCACTGAAGATTTCATTGCTACATATCAGGCCAATTATGGCTTTTCTAATGATGGTGCGTCTAGCTCTACTGCAAATGTACAAGATGTTAATGCTAGGCCTGCAGAAGAACCTCCGCAAAGAAAAAACCCTGAACCCACTGATCCCAAAAAGAGAGGAGAAAAGAGAAAGGCTGAATCAGGCAAGTGGATTTAGCTTGTAAAACGTGTGTGAAAATTAAAAATGTGAGTGTGTGTGTATATAGTTACTTTTTGGAGAATTATAATGGCTCTGAAGGAATCATTGAGATGGGTTTTTAAAAATTATTATTTGGGTTCATATATTGGCTCTCACACTAATTTATGGGCATGGAATGAGTTATTTCAATTCTATTCCTCAGTTGCTTCCTTTGCAAAATAGAGCTACTATTAGGGGATTATCAAAAGTTCTGTTTGTAAGGTTATTTTTTACAGTTTTTGAGTTTAATTAAATTGAACTTAAGCCAGTTTTGCTTCAGCTTAGCCATGTCTAACACAGTAGATTGGAGTCAGAAGCAATTTAATGTGAAGGTCTAAAGTCAATGTAAGGGTGGTTTTTTTAAGGAAGCATCTGAATCGTAGTAAAGATTTGGAAGCAGCCCAAGTGCCCTTCAGTAGGTGAGTGGATATAAAAGCTGTGGTACATTTACACAGTGAAATACTTCTCGCCGTAAAAATAAAAGGAAATCTTATCTTTTGAGACAGCATGGATGGCCCTAGAAAGTATTATGCTAAGTGAAATAAACCAGTCAGAGAAAGACAAATACCATATGATTTCACTTATATGTGAAACAAAATTAACTAACAAAGCAAAATAGAAACAGACTCATAGACACAGAGAGCAGATCGACAGCTGCCAGAGGGGAGGGGGATTTGGGGGCTTGGTGAAAAAGTGAAGGGATTAAGAAAAACACTGGCTGGTGTGGCTCAGTTGATTGAGTATTGTCCCTTGCACCAAAAGGTCGCTGGTTCAATTCCCAGTCAGGCACGCCCAGGTTGTGGGTTTGGTCCCCATCAGGGTGCGTATGGGAGGCAACTGATTGTGTTTTCTCTCTCTCCTTTCCTCTCTAAAATCAATTAAAAAAATACCTCATAGACACAGACAACAGTATGGTGATTACCAGAGGGAACCCTGGGGATGGGGGGAGAGAGAAGAGGGTAAAAGAGATAATTGTTGAGGAGACTTGAGTTTGGGTGGTGAACACACAATACAATATAGAGATGATACATTATAGAATTGTACACCTAAAACTCATATAATTTTATTAACCAATGTCACCCCAATACAATACAATTTTAAAAATATATAAATAGCTCTCTTTTTTTAGACAGAGTTCTGAAACTGATTATCTGTCAAAAGAGCCAAATACATTGAAAGCTGGACAGTAGTTTGAATTTGTCTTGTTCTCAGGGTAAAAAAAAAAAAAAATTTCCTGGAAGTTTTGAGAGACTGCCACACTGCCAAAATTTTATAATGTGACTTTGACCTTTTCTTGCATGCGTTTTATTTATTCATTTTTATTTTTAGGGTGGTTTCATGTTGAAGAAGACAGAAATACAAATGTATATGTGTCTGGTATGTATACCTTTTTAAACAGCTTTAGAATAGAAAATATTTGATTTTTATGTTTTTCACAAAGTCATTTTTAGTTTTCAGTTTCTCTGAAGCCCGTTTCTTATGATTTTGCCATTTTTGTTCAGTTGTTTGCATTAGTGAGGAATATGTTTGTTTATTACAAAACTAAGAAAAATTAAGTGTATGTAACTTTGCATGCATGCCATCCTTTTTGTCTGCTTTAGGTTACTTGTGGCAGTTTGTCCCTTCAGATTCATTGAAACATGAAATTTCCTCAATTCTATATATGTGAGATTTTTACATACGTTTAGAAATTCAAAATTGTGCTCATCTAAGTTGTAGCTTTCTAATTGGTAGAATGCTAAATAACCCTCACCTTTACTTAGATGCCTTTATAAATTAAAAATTTTTTCCCTAATGTTGATAGGTTTGCCTCCAGACATTACACTGGATGAATTTATACAGCTCATGTCCAAGTTTGGCATTATTATGAGAGATCCTCAAACAGAAGAATTTAAGGTCAAGCTCTACAAAGATAATCAAGGAAATCTTAAAGGAGATGGGCTTTGCTGTTATTTGAAGGTTAGTTATGTGGTCAGATAAGTTTCTTTTCCATTTTTAAATCAGGAACCAGGGCTATAATTTTATATCGATGATTACTAAGATGGAGAACTATTCAAAACAGGACATGAAGAAAAGTGAAATTTCAGATTGTGCCTGTGTGTAATTGGTAAGATTATTCACTTGTTCGTCTGGTCAAAGTATTATGTAAGTTATATGACCAAAGTGCTTTTGTCTTAAAAAGAATTCTCACTGCAAAGAGCTCTTTCAGAGTGTATGCATATAATCAATTCAGAACACATTTTCAAAGTCCACAAGGAAGAAAAAGCCAGTAATATTTTATTTGCCTATTTGAATGAATTAGACCAAGGATCAGCAAACTCCAGCCTACTGCCTGATGTTGTTAATAAATTTTTTATTATTAAAATGGCTGCATTCATTCATTTACGAATTTGTGTCTACTTACATATTTGAACAGCAGAGTCGAATGGTTGCAGCACACACCATGTGGCCCACAAAGTCTAAAATATTTATTATTTGGCTTTTTACAAAATAAGTTTTCTGACCCCTGAGTTAGACAACAAAGGAGCTGATAGCTTATGCTTACTACTACAGAATATCTTTTTATTGGGAGAGTATGGTGTTAACAGAAATTGGTAGAACTCTATCCATGGTGTCATAAATTGCACAGGGAAAACTCCATGTTAAAGGCATTCATCATTTCTAGAACACCTATCATCTTAGAAGCAAGTGCTACCCATTATTGCAGGATATAAAAGAAATGGGCATGATGATGACATACACATATGTCATAGAACTTGGAAGTAATTACAAAGTAAAATCAAAGTGATAAAAAACAACAGTACCAACACCATGGGTATGTTGTGAGTATACAGCATATCAATGAAATTAGAAGGTGGTAGGATTAAGCTGACAGCTTTTTGGGAATACCTTATAATTTTAAAACTGGCATGCACCTTAGAAATCACACAAGTTCATTTGACTTATTCTCTAGTTGAAAAATCGAGATGCCAAGAAACAAAACTACTTCAATAATGATATTAATTTATTGGGCAACTACCATATGCCAATCACTATCCTTTATGTGTATTCCATTTAATTTTGTCAAGAACCTATGATGAAGGCATTACTGTTCCCATTTTACAGATGAAAAAACAGGTTCAGGAATCTTGAATAACTTGCCCAAGTTCACATGGGTGGTTGGAGGTAGCTATATCTTGAATGCAGGTTCCCAAACTGGGTAGTTATGCTTAAATTATTATTGCATATATAGTCATCATTCATCTAAAAATAAACAACTCCTGAAGTTTTATTTCAGTGTGTACCTTACTGACTGTCTTGTTTTTCCCTTTATAAAGAGGGAATCTGTGGATCTTGCATTAAAACTTTTGGATGAAGATGAAATTAGAGGCTACAGACTACATGTCGAGGTGGCAAAGTTTCAACTGAAGGGAGAATATGATGCCTCTAAGAAGAAGAAGAAGTGCAGGGATTACAAGAAAAAGCTATCTCAGCAACAAAAGTTTGTGTTCTTTTCTTCTTCGAAAGATTTTTATAAATATCCTAGAGTATTCTTTCGGTAATAGCCACCTAGTTTTGTTCATAGAGAACATCTCCTAAATATACCTACAAATTATTTTTAAAGAACCTTCATCCGGAACCTTCAGTAATCTGTACCACAGGATGATTTGGCAGCAGTGGTGTTTTTCATTTTCTGGGGTGTTCATTGGTAATACAACAAGGACTTAAATGAGATAACAAAGCTATCTCTTCGGAAGTTGTTGAACATCAGATTAAACAAGATAGTTTAGGCCTGTATATCAGTCATTAGTTCATTTTCAATGTGTGTTGAAATCAGCTACACCAGGAGCTAAATTTTTACATACAGGCTTGTATTAGAAATTTGAAATGATAGGTTTTATCATTGTATTTATAATGTATTACATATACTAGTATATGCATAATGCCATCAAGTTTCTGTTAACCCATTTGTTTAATATGTGTTTTGAAATATGCTAGTTTTAAGAAATTAGCCAAAGTGATAAGTACCTTTATCACAGTGAGTTCTGATAACACTTTTAGCACTGCTTACACTATTGATAAATGATTATGAAAGCATTTAGGTGATCTTCTACAGTTTTTTACAGGAATAGTTAAAACAGATACCTACAATTTTTATAAACAGTAAAATTTAAGATTGTAACAAAGAATGAGTAGTTTTACATATTTCAGTGGTTTGTCATAATCATAAAGTACCTACAAACCAGTACAATTTGAACATATTTTTTGGCCTGAGTATATCTTCTTAGATAATCATACATAGTGAATAATTCGAACTTTTTCAGGAATGTCATTGGAATATTTGTAACCAGATAGCAGTTCTGGAAAAAAAGCAGGGTGGGGCAAAAATAGGTTTTCAGTTGTGAGTATGCAAAACACAAAGTTTATTCTTGTATTATTATTTATTAATGTATTATTTTCCATATGAACAACTGCAAACCTTTTTTAAAATATATTTTATTGATTTTTTTACAGAGAGGGAGGGAGAGAGATAGAGAGTTAGAAACATCGATGAGAGGGAAGCATTGATCAGCTGCCTCCTGCACACCTCCTACTGGAGATGTGCCCGCAACCAAGGTACGTGCCCTTGACTGGAATTGAACCCTGGACCTTTCAGTCTGCAGGCTGAGGCTCTATCCACTGAGCCAAACCGGTTTCAGCTGCAAACCTACTTTTACCCGACCCTGTATATTCTGGGGATTTCAGATATTGGGTCCATCTTTCACCTGCCTGTTATTTTTATTCCAGAAAGTTCTCTGAATAGAACTGTGACTAAAATATACATTGTTGTTCTGGAATCAAATAATCATCATTTTAAAATAATCAATAAAGGATTATTTCTACTTTGTGTCATTAGGCAATTGGATTGGAGACTTGAGAGAAAGGATGGGTCAATCTGAATGCCCCATGAACGAGTTGTCATCATCAAAAATATGTTTCATCCTATGGATTTTGAGGTAGGGTACAATATTCTTACTGATTAAAACGTTGCTATGCCTTCTTTTAAGGGAGCCCAAACTTGCCCCCCCCCATCTTTCTCATGTTACATCCTGCACATTTATGTAGTCCTCAAGATAGAAAAACGTAGCCAAGAATCAGTCAAACTTTTCAGATTTTCTCATGGTTAGCTCAGTGTTTCTTTAATTGTATCATAGCTAAGACTGTTTAATGCCCATACTGTGGCCCCAAATGGAAGCTACTTGGCATGGGAAATTATAAAAAATATAATAATTAAAAGATTTATGGGAGCTCCAAGTATGGGTTGATTTTGGTGGGGAGGACCAGTTTCACACTTGAAGTGAAAACTTCATTTTAGTACTAAAAATTTGGTCTTAGAACTCCTGAGGTTAATGAAATAAAGCCCCTGATGTTTTAATATTGGAGGTTGTTTTTCAGGACCTAGTTTTTACACAAGTCTTTGGTGGCTATTAGGAGGACTTTATGATATTAATGTCCATGTAAAATTCCAGGAACAGCAAATAAAGGAAGAGCTACTAGAGAGTTTTTTTTTAAATACATTTTTACTGATTTCAGAAAGGAAGGGAGATGGAGAAATAGAAACATCAGTGATAAGAGAGAATCATCAATTTTCTGCCCCCTGCACGCCTTCTATTAGGTATCGAACCCACAACCCAGGCATGTGCCCTTGACCTGAATTGAACCCAGGAGCCTTCAGTCCACAGGCCAATGCTCTCTCCACTGAACCGAAACTCCCTAGGGTCTAGGGAGTTTTAAGGAATGTTAATTGCCATCAGGGTACCTTCATATTGCATTCTGTCTCTTGTTCTTATCTCTGTCTTTTGGCATAGACCAATGGAATTATTTGTGGAAGAACAAGTCTTTACTATTTTCCTAGATTCTTTCATGTAAGAAAAAAATGTTCATAATGTAAAATTCCAGGTTTACGAATGATCTAGTTGCAACCAAAGACCACTCTTGTTCCTTTTGTGCATTTAAACAGAATCAGAATGGAAATATCGTTTTCCCTTTAGATACTAAGGCCCCAGATTGGTCTTTGAGCTCTGTCCGGGCGAATCGTGATATGATAGGGTTTACTATGCACCTATGGAGTCTGTATCTTTTGAGATCGTTGGTGAGATACATGTGACCTATTTAAGATTTTTTTATGTCTCTTCTGACTGAAATTCTGAAGAATCTTGAAATATAGCAGAGCTGCTTTAGACTTGCAGTGATAATGAAGTATGTTTAAAAAGTACACGTGTACACATGCACACTAAATGCTTTTTGAAATGTAGTCCTTGTCAGGTGGGGCTTTAAAAGGAATGCATAGATGGATCATGATATCTAGTCTGCTAGGTATAACTCCAGAATTGACTACAATAAATCACATTTTACCCCCCCGGTAATAATTGATTTTTTAAATTAGGATACCTATTAGTATCTGACTTAAGGTCCTTGATTCACACATATTGCATACTCCTAGCACTTGAACGTGAATATAAATGGAAACCTAACTCAAAGTATCTGGAAGCTCTGCAAGTAAGGAGTCTATTGTGTAATTACATGGTTTTTGTTTCTGCTTCTGCCTCCTGTCTTGCTCATTGAAACACCTTATTTGAGTCTAGCTATCACCCTGGCCAGATTTAGCTTTTCCTACCTTAGCAAATATTCTTTCCTCCAAAAGCCACATTTATTCTACGTTGACTCCTAGAAATTCCCTCCATTGGATATTTTTAAGGATAGAAGTTTCATGCTTATAAATTTTTTATTGTTTAAAAATAACACCCTTATTGGTTTAGTGTAAATTTTACTTTAGAGTTATAGAGCTTTATATTATACTCTCTGTTTCCTTCATCACATTTCATATTATCAGAAATAATTGAATCTCCTCTACTTGAATGTGTGCTCCATGAGAGCCAGGACTGTCTACCTTGTTTGTTTGCTGTTAATATTCCCTGTGTATAGAATTGTGCCTGGCACCACAATAGGCTCTCAATATATTAATAGGTCCTTGGTATTTATATGAAGAAAACGTACAAGAATGATTGAATGAAACCCCAGTTAATCACAAGACAGAATCTTTTCATTCCTGAATGGATAAAACATTTTCTCTTTAGCATCTTTGCACATAAAGGAAATTTTTCTTTTCATGTGCTTAATACCACCTAGCTGGAAGGGCAGTAGTGGACTTCAGAGTTTACAGGTAGAGAAACCCTTGGTGCTGTCCTTGTTTGCCCACCTGCCTTTGTCTGGTTTGGTCTGCTGAACTTAATGAGAGCCTGTCAGTCAGCGGGACTACAGACAATCTTGTTTTTTATTCAGTGTCTCTGTGGGCCTGAACCTCAAATTATTTAGTGTAGACCTGTCCAATATAGTAGAATCTAGGCTCATGAAGTTTTTTTTTAATTTTGTAGACTACAGACAAACATAAATAACTTAAAACCTTTTTTATATGTTGGTATGTCAAAGCAGGACATTTAATTATCGGAATTTGTATTTTTTCAGGATGATCCGTTGGTGCTAAATGAGATCAGAGAAGATCTTCGTGTAGAGTGTTCGAAGTTTGGACAAATTAGGAAGCTTCTTCTGTTTGATGTAAGTTTATGGCTTGGACAAATGATTTCTGGAACAATCATTCTTCCAGTTAAAAGTTATTACCAGTTGTCAGTATGCCCTATATTTTACATTAATGTTCTTATATAGTTGGTCTTCCATCTAATGGTAGGCATCTGTTAGCAATAATTAGATGAACATGGATTGTAAGTCAAGGCTTTGATAGATTTGGTACTCCGTGATTATTTCCCTTTATCATCACTCTAGAGTATATGATCAGGTAGAGAAAGTACAAGAAAAATGTATGGTTCCCTATTTGCCCATATTTTCCCCTCTTGAATGATTCTCCTCCTCTATATTTGGAGAAAAACAATCAAGGAAAATATTCTCTTGTATGTTTCCTCTTCTCACCCATTTTTTACTTCCAAAATTGACACATTTATAACAAAATAGTCGCTATTTATTGATTACGTACTTCAAGTTACTGTACGTGTTATCTCATTTAATCTTCAATCCTTTGAGGTAGATAGATGCTATTATACCCATTTTACAGATGAGGATGCTGAAAGTTTAGAGATTGAGCACCTTTCCCAAGATCATTCAGCTGCTAAATGGCGGAGCCAGGATTGAATCCCAGGGCTATTCAACTTCAGAGTCCACATTTAACAACTATGCTGCCTTGCCTGTCCTAGACAGTGTTGTTAGTAGAAACATTTCCAAGGACATCATGCTTGGTTCTTCCTAGAAAAGATTAAGTTGAAGAGGCAGCTAGCTATCTGTTACTGGCTGGGGTAAAAGGGAAGAAAGGCTTCATACACAGTATATTTTACTCAATTTATCAGAAAAAACAGCTCCCACTTACCTACTTTGTCAAATGTGTATGTTTTATTTTGAATTTTCTCATTTATTCTTTTGTTTTCTTCCTTATTTTTTTCTAGAGACACCCAGATGGTGTGGCCTCTGTGTCCTTCAGGGAACCAGAGGAAGCTGATTATTGTATTCAGACTCTGGATGGACGGTGGTTTGGTGGTCGTCAAATCACTGCCCAAGTATGGGATGGAACTACAGATTATCAGGTAAATTCTGCAACTATCAAGGGAAATTCTGCAACTATCAAGGGAACATAATTTGTTACCAACAAACACTGAACTAGCAGTCCTTCAGATAAGTTTTGGATTTGGTTTAATCTGTGTATTGTAATAGTAGTACTTTTATTTATTTATTTACTTATTATTTATTTATCTATTTATTTTAAATCCTCACCCAAGGATATTTTTCCATTGATTTTTAGAGAGAGGGAAAGACAGAGAGGAATATCGATGTGAGAGAGACACATCGATTGGTTGCCTCATGCACAATCCCTGACCAGGGCCCAGGCTGGGGAGGAGCCTGCAACCAAAGTATGTGCCCTTGATGGGAATCGAACCCAGAACCCTTCGGTCCCCAGGCTTATGCTCTATCCACTGAGGCAAACCAGCTAGGTCTAATAGTAGTACTTTTAAATAATATTTTGCATTCAGAGCATAGAAAGAAAAATGTTCAACTTTTCAGTTTACAAGTCTGAAATTTGAGGCTTGCTCAGAATAGTGATAAGAAAAGAACATATTAATCAAAATGTTCCTCTTCCTTTCTGTGCTGTAAAGGCAGAGTTCAAATACTAACTTTTTAATTGATGAGACATTTCTGCAGTACTGTGGTGTTGGGCATTTATTTAAATGATCTTAAGGTCAACTCCATAAATCAAGATGTAAAGTTTTGAAAACTGAAGATAGGGAATTGCTTTGATTTCCTAAGAAGCAATGACTTATAAAATCAGGATACTTTTGTCAATATTAGTAATGCTCAGATATGTTAATACTTTTAGCCTAAAACTTATTTTAATGGAAATTTCCATTTATGCACAGGTGGAGGAGACCACAAGAGAAAGGGAGGAAAGGCTGAAAGGATGGGAGGCTTTCCTTGAGTCTCCTGAGGCCAATAAAGGTCTTCGGCGTTCAAATTCCATCTGTGCTTCAGAAAGGGCAGGGCCTTCTAGAGTAAGGCATTTTTCAGAGTGCCCTAGCACATCTAAAATGAATGATGAAGAAGCTGAAACTCAAATGGAATTTGAAGAGCCTGTAGATGAAAAGAAGTTTGAAAAATCAGAAGATGGGGGAGAATTTGAAGAAGATATTGAAGAAAGTGGCTTCAAAAAAGAGGCTGAGAAACACTACCCCCAGAAAGAATCTGAAGAAGGCTGCCTTGAAAGAAAGTCTGAGGAAGGCTGCCCCCAAAAAGAGTTTGAAGAGGGTGGTCCTAAAAATGAGTCCAAAGCGAATGGCCCCGGAAGAGAATCCAAAAAGAAGCTACTCAAAAGTGATTTTGAAGAGAATGGCTTTAAAAAGGAGTCTGGAGAAGATCGCCCCAACAAGGAGTCTGAAGAAGACTACTCTGAAAAGCTCTTTGAAGACAGCTCTGAAAAAGAATTTGAAGAAAATGACCTCAGAAAAGAATTTGATGAGAATGGCTCTGATGAGTTTAATGGAAGCTTTCTCAAAAAAGAGTTAGAAGAAAATGACTCTGAAAGGTCACAATTTGACGATGACAGCTCTGAAAAGGTTATTGATGAGGAAGGCTCTGAGAGAGAGTTTGACGATGAAGAATCAGATGAAGACGGAGAAGAAGATACTTATGAAAAAGTTTTTGATGATGAGTCTGATGGAAAAGAGGCCAAAGAAGATGCAGATGAAAAGGAGGAAGATGATGATGCAGATGAGAAGATGTGTGAATATTCAGATGAAAAAGAAGGTGAAGTAGATGCAAAGGAGGATGAAAACATGCTCGAAGATGAAGATTCCTCTGAGAAATCTGATGATTCTGATGAGAAAGGGACTGTGTGTTGTATGAGGAATGTTCAGGGAAAAAGGGCCCAGTCCACATACAGCAGCTTTATCCTCAGTAGTGATGATGATGACGATGATGATGATAATGATAATGATATTTAATCCCTTAAACTTGCTTTTGAGGGAAATTCCTCCATCTACATTTTGCCTATGCTCCAGGGTAATTACTAGTAGTGTTAATAAACATTGCATAGTGATAGGATGCCATCAGATTAATGCATTTACTTTTGCATTGTTACCTGTACTTAATGATCTCAAATATATGTTAATTGGCTGTTCAGTTAAAACTTCATAGTATAATACAAGTAAACTGATTACTCATCCTTTGTCAGATTTGTTAAATGCATGCAGAATATTTTTTAAAGTATTCTGATTGAAGTTTGTGATATTCAAAAATAAAAATAAGTTGTTAATATGCAGAAACTGAAAATTGGACTTGCGTTAAGTTGCATTTTATGTTCTTGCTATTGCTTTATTCATACTTAAGGTTTTAGTTGTTTAAGGATTTGAAAAATCCTATGAGAGTTTCCTTGCTTCCATCTTATATTACCACTTAGGTCCCCATTTCTCCACTCTAAACCAGAACATGTTACTAAACTAATAATGTAAACAGCACTTTGGAGTTTTCCCCTGCCCAGTCCTAGCAACTTATTTTTATTTGTTTTCCTTTCTACCCTCTTTCCATGAAAATTGACTCTTACATGTGCAAGAGTAAACTTCCTGAGGTCCATCCACAGCTTTCTTTACTGAAAATATAGGGAAGGGCATTAGAATTCTGCTCTGTACTGTTTGGCCCCTTTAGAAGTTGATTGGAGTTGTGGAACCTCTCCCCAAAAAAGTGCATGCACTACACAACTTTTTGTATACAGTTTTGGGAGGTTCATTGATCCCCTGGAGTTTAAGAATGTCTGTTATCATTCATACTTAAATTTTGTGTGTGTTTTTGTTCTAGTATGGTGCCTAGTACTGTGCTAAATTGTGTAGTCCCAATAAAATGTTGGGTCTTTCTTATGCTTTCAAAGTTAAGTATTGACTCATTGACTTCTGATGTAGCATTAAGCACTTGTTCTCGTAAATTAGAAGTACTGAAATAAACTGCATTGATGTTTTTTCATTATACCGCCTGTAAGTGTAATCATTACCCCATTCAGATCGAAAAAAATTCTTGTACTTGAAGCCAGCTTTCAGAGAAGATTTTAGTTGATATCTGGGATTTCTTAAGATCTGCAGGATTTTCACCAAGGATAAATCAGTAAAAGAGGTAAAGATTTAAATTGAAAGTTTGCAAACCAAAATAGGATTCCTTTTAAAGATAAGCCAGAAGCACCAAAACACAATTTTTTGGAAAATTGGTTTTCTAAGTGAAAGGAAAATAAAGTTTTATCTTCCATGTACAATAGGTGGGACACATAACTACAACTTATAAAAGACCATTAGAAAGAGGCTGTTTCATTCTGACATCCCTGCTCACTAATTTGGTTGGTATCAAAATATTCATGCTCTTTTCACATAGACACCTGGAAATGAAAGTTGCAAACACCTGTAAATGGTTAATAATTTATGAGGTGTTAATGGATAAATTAAGTGTCAAGAAGCACACACAGAGTCACCTGTTTTCTAAGTAATCTAGTTTTTTTTTCCTGAAAATAAAGTTATATTGTGAGGCAACAATACATCCTCTTAACAAAAGAAAAGAAAAATAGAGGGTTGGATATTAAACACAGCAATGCTCAACAATTAACCCAGCATTTTCTAAATGTAAAGCTCCTTAAGGGTATATATATATAAACTATATAAATATCAAATAATGTATTCAGCCCTGAATGTGTGAACCAGAAGTGTCTTCAGGGATGCCTTTGAAAGGCTTTTATGCCCTGCTCTCTGAGTCTAAAAGTACCTTCATAGAAACAAACTTGAAACTTTATTTTAGAAGATAAAAATATTACTGTCTTGCCAGTATTAATGAAATATTTGAAATCATTACTGCTTTCTACAAAACAACCTGATGGCAAAATTGGACTAATTTATTCCAAGGATCTCCGTTTTTCTTCTCAAGTACTGATAGCCCTGATCCATTTGTGCCACACTGCCTCTTCCTTTTTGGAGTGGAACCTATTTTCCTTATGTAAATTATCTGGTGTTTCTGAGGCTTGGAAAAGGAAGGATTTAGCTAATTTTCTGCATATGCCTTTCTGAAATAACATGAATCTTATTTTTTAAAGTAAACCAACCTTTCAGTGTAATGCCCAGAAGTGCTGTTAAATTGTTTGAACAAAACGGTGGCTTGGAGAACAGTAGAAGGCTTATCAACTTGCCCTTTGTGAATATTTGTGCATACATTGTTTTTTCCTTATTGGGCCTCTTTCAGATACAAACTGCATGCCTTTTTGGTGGTTGTTGTTTTCCAGATAGTCACTTCATTTACAATCAGTTTGCTCAAATTATTTTTCCTCTTATCACACCTCATTTACATGACTGGCTTTACATTTCTATGTAAAATACCTTATGTAAGAGAAAAAGTGGGTGAAAAAGGTAAAGGGATCAAGAAGTACAAATTGCCCCTTACAAAAACAGTCACAGAGGCCCTGGTCGAGTAGTTGATACTGTTAGAGTTTCATCCCAATATGCCAAGGTTTGATCCCCAGTCAGAGCACATACAAGAAGCAACCAATGAATGCATAAGTAAATGGAACAACAAATCTATGTTTCTCTCTCTCTCAAAATCAACAAATAAAAAAAAATCAACAAATAAAAACAATCACGGAGGTCCTAACCGGTTTGGCTCAGTGGATAGAGCGTCGACCTGTGGACTCAAGGGTCCCGGGTTCGATTCTGGTCAAGGGCATGTACCTTGGTTGGGGGCACATCCCCAATAGGGGTTGTGCAGGAGGCAGCTGATCGATATTTCTGTCTCATCAATGTATCTAACTCTCTATCCCTCTCCCTTCCGCTCTGTAAAAAATCAATAAAATATATTTAAAAAAAAAAAACAAAAAAAATGTAGAGCATACGGAATGTAGTCAATAATGTAATAACTATGGTGCCAGGTGGATATTGGAAATATTGGGAGGATCATGTTGTAAATTACATAAATGTCTAATCACTGTGTTGTATACCTGAAACTAATAATTTTGCATGTCAAGTGTAATTGAAAAATTAAGTGTTAAACATTTTCCTAAAATCGCAAATTGATATTGCAAATAGCCGGAAATTCTTGAACAATTATCACAGGAATAGATTGAGAAAAATATTTCATAGTTTAAAGTTTAGTTTTAGGTGTTCAGAGACCTACAGACAAGTTTTACTTTTCATTTGGAACCAAGAGGATCCTGATACGGTTTGTCAACTGCATTATTCTCAAGTAGAAAGCATAAGCAGGTTGGCTTGTGTTTATAGTTTAGTTATCAGTAGACTTTACAGGCTGTGATATTAAAATGCACTGGCCGTTCTGGGCCAATAAAGAAAACTAGGACAGCTACAGCAGCACAATGGCGGCTTTTGTGCTACCAGAACTCTATTTTTGCACCACTTCTTTTTTTCCCCATATATTTTATTGATTTTCCACAGAGAGGAAGGGAGAGGGACAGAAAGCCAGAAACATCAATGAAAGAGAAACACCAATCAGCTGCCTCCTGCACACTCCCCACTGGGTATGTGCCTGAAACCAAGGTACATGCCCTTGACTGGAATCGAACCCGGAACCCTTGAGTCCACAGGCCGATGCTCTATCCACTGAGCCAAACCGGTCAGGGCTTGTACCACTTCTTAATGTTTCTACTGAAATAACCATGATAACATTAGAAGAGTAAAGCTCTAAGAATAAGTATATTTTTTGATTTGCCATTTCCAACTTTCTAACAATTATTTCAGTCTAATTTCTAGTGATAAACTTGCAACACCTTAATGTAAAAATTTCTAGGCTTAACTGTATGTCTAACTTTAAAGTTTGAAAATGTGATAGCTTAGCCCTAGCCCGGTAGCTCAGATGGTTAGACCATCATCCCAATACACCAAGGTTATGGGTTCCATCCCTGTCAGGGCACATAGAAGATTCAACCAATGAATACATAAATAAGTGGAATAACAAATCATTGTTTCTCTCTCTCATCTCCCTTTCTCTCTCAAATCACTACATAAAAAAATAAAAAGTGATATCTTTACGTCCTACCTTATTTTTGTAAAGGGGAGTTTTTCCTTTTTTAAAAAAATATTTCATTTTTATTTATGAATTTTTTTTTATCCTCACCTGAGGATATGTTTATTGATTTTAGAAAGAGTGGAAAGGAGAGAGGGAGAGAGAGGGAGGGAGGGAGGGAGAGAGAGAGAGAAACATTGATGTGAGTGAGAAATATTGATCAGTTCCCTCCTGTATGAACCCAGAACTGATCAAACCGAAACCTAGGTATGTGCCCTGACCCGGAATCGAACCTGCAACCTTTTGGTCTATATTCTCTAATCAACTGAGCCACCTGGCCAGGTATTTAATTTTTAAATTTTTTATTGATTGATTTTAGAGAAAGGGAGAGAGGAACATCAATTTTTGTTGTTTCACCTATTTGTGCATTCATTCGTTGATTCTTGTATGTGCCCTGACCAGGAATAGAACTGAAACCTTGGCATATTGGGACAATGCTCTAACCAACTGAGCTACCTGGCCAGGACTTGTACTACCATTTATTTATTTGTTTGTTTATCTATCTATTTATTTTAGGTTTCTAGTGTGTTTTTTGTTTGTTTTGTTTTAAATATGTTTTTATTGATTTTTTAGAGAGAAAGGGACAGGGACAGAGAGATAGGAACATCAAACATCAATGAGAGCAATATCAATTGGCTGCCTTCTGCCTGTCCCCTAACTGGGAATCAAGCCTGAAACCCAGGAATGTGCTCTGACCAGGAATCAAACCAGTGACCCCTTGGTACATGGGCTGAGCTATGTTACCTTTTAAATAAACAATATAAGCTTTTGTTTTTAGATGATTAAGAAATTATAGATTGGGATATTAAAATTTTGTCATTTAATGGTTTTCTATCACCTTTTGCTAGGAATATATTGATTGCCATATTGAGATACTAATAGTATTAGACTATTGATTTAGTGTATTTTTACTCATTATGAAATCTTTTCAATGTAATTTTGTTCAGTTAATTAGCAAGTATATATTGGGCTAGGTGGAGCAGTGAGAATAAAGGCAGCATTAGACATGGACCCTTTTCAAAAAGCAGTTGTAATCTATGTTGAGACAAGGCAGCCAAAAAAATGTAGCATTGATTCAGTAATACACCCACAGCCTAGAACTGTGCCTGGCACATAATAGAGGCTCAATAAATACTTGTTGAATGAATGAATTTATCCTATGGATATGCTGGCAAAGTCCCATTCATTCATTTGCAGAGGTATTATTAGCTTCACCACTACCTCATCATCATTCTTTTTGTTAATTTGAAGATTCAATTGACTTTATTAAGCAACATCCCATCTAGCAACCATCTCCTTCCTCATCACCATTCTTTTTTTTAAAAAATATATATATATTTTATTGATTTTTTACAGAGAAGAAGGGAGAGGGATAGAGGGTTAGGAACATCGATGAGAGAGATCAATCAGCTGCCTTCTGCACGCCCCCAACTGGGGATGTGCTCGCAACCAAGGTACATGCCCTTGACCAGAATCGAACTTGGGACCCCTCAGTCCTCAGGCCGATGCTCTATCCATTGAGCCAAACCGGTTAGGGCATCATTCTTGATTATTTCAATATCAAAGTAAATAATCCTGTTCTTTCTCTAGTCTTCCCAGCTCAGCAGCCCAACTGTCCAAACCAAAAATCTAGGAATCATCTTTGATTTCTCTCTCTCCTTTATTTGTCACCCCCAAGCCCTGTTGGCTCTAACTCCAAAAAACCCCAAAATCTGAATACTTCTCCCCATGTCCACTCCCACCACAGTACTACATGATAACCAGGGTGATAAAAAAAATCACTACTTAAAACACCCTGATGACTTTCCATTAAAACACTCCAGTAGCACTTAAATAAAATCCAAACTTCTTACTATGGCCTGCTCACAAAGCTCTGAGTGATCTTGCTCTGCCTGTTTGTGCAGACTCATTGCAGAACTCTC